AATAGCATGCAATACATTTTAAATGTATATAAATGAAATATCCACGGATTTTATTACTCAGTTCCTTCTTAGGACACAAATGATACACAAAGACCATTATAAAAAAAATTGTGATCTAGGCATGGTGGTACACACCTTTAATTCCATTACTTGGAAGGCAGAGGCAGGTGGAACTCCATGAGATCAAGGTCAGCCTGGTCGACATAGCGAGTTCCAGGTCAGCTGTATATAAATGAAATATCCACGGATTTTATTACTCAGTTCCTTCTTAGGACACAAATGATACACAAAGACCATTATAAAAAAAATTGTGATCTAGGCATGGTGGTACACACCTTTAATTCCATTACTTGGAAGGCAGAGGCAGGTGGAACTCCATGAGATCAAGGTCAGCCTGGTCGACATAGCGAGTTCCAGGTCAGCTGGGGCTACAGGGAGACCCTATCTCAAATAATTGTGAACAGACATGACAGAAATTAATTCTGAGTATACCCAGTAAGGTAGAAAATTAGGTTTATGTCTCTACGTCTTTTTAAACTAATGTATTATTTGTTATTATTCTTAGATAATTTCATACATGTATATAAAGTATTTTGATCATATTCATATTTATTCCTGCACCTAAATCCTCCAGGACTCATGCCTCCCACTCACTCTGAAATGTAAGAAAGTTTTAATAATGCAAAAGATCAAACAAAAAGGGGACATGAGGTTGGGAGGAGAAGGGAAAGTAGTGGTGGATCTGGGAGGAGTTAGGAGAAAGAGTAAGGGGTGAATATGATCAAAATACCCTGGATGAAATTCACAAAGAATTAATAAAATATATTAAAAATATGTTTACCCAAGTTGGAGCTACCTTTGGCAAAAGAATATTAGAATATTTACACAAATAGAATAATTCTTTCTATTAAGGAAATGGGTGGCATACTGTCGTTGGCTCAGTCAGTACTCAGTCAGCCTCAGTCAGTAGGCTGCAGGGAATTGAAGTACAGGCAGAGGAAATGTAATAACTTCCTTACCATGCTGCAAGATAGGCTCTAGCTCTAAGCAATAACAATGTAAGCTATGCTACTCCAAGGCCAGCAGAGGGAGAACAAGTACAAATCACAATTTTTTTGTTTCCCAAAGGAAAGTGGGAGGTAAAAGTGAGGAAAGCCATAAAAACCCTAGTAAATATTCTACTTAACAATGTCTTAACTTTTTTTTCACAATTTATGTGGTGGCCAAAGAATTTTTATAAGTAGGTATTTATTGTGTGAAGCTCAAGAAGGCAAAGCAACTGAGTCACTTTTCTGAGTCTTTTGAGGTGGCCAGAGCAGCCAAAAGTATCTGTAGTAAGAACTGGGAAAGAATTTGCCAGCTGGGTCTCAGGAGGAAGATGGTATACCTGGGAATTAAGTTCACAGGTTCAAGACTGACCTTGCCCCAACATGGTACTTGTAGAATGAAGCTCAAAAATTGAGGTATGGAGTGAAAGAACTGTCACTGTGAAGTCACACATACAACTGTATGGTATAAGTATCATCAAGCTCCAAGCCATAAACCTGGCTTTGGGTCCACATGCTAGCCCATGGCTTAGAGAAAATGATATAAAAATGGGAAAATGAGTTTATTTATACCTTTGGTTAAACGTGGGCAAACAGAAATTCTTAATCTATCTCCCTTTGACCCAACAGCATTACAAATTTTCAAAAATTATAAAAGGAAACCCAAGAAATAGCTACTTACCTATCTATATTCATCTATCTATCTATCTATCTATCTATCTATCATCTATCATCTATCTATCATCTATCATCTTTATTTAGCTATGTGCTCCTAGATATCAGAACTGCAGGATAATTCTTTTTCCTGAGACACATCTTTCTCCTGGTGCTAGGACTCTTAGAGTAGGCCATTTTGAGTCCCAGCATGGTATCTTTCAGGTATTCTCATTCATAGCCATGTGTGTATAAAACTCAAAGTGTAAAATGCATACCAGTGCAAACATTTGATTTTCTGGAAACTGAAAAAATAATAATTCCTACTTTCTACAAATTCCTCCATCTTCAGAAATAGTCACCAAAATTTACTATTGTATCAAGTTTTAGTATGCTCTCATATTTTCTGATGAACATCACAATTATTTTCTATATAACTGTTGCTTGAATAAAAGTCACTTGTATAAATCAGTCAAGAAAGTATTGTCACATATCACATCTCTCACCTGCAAAGTAATAAGAGGATTTCGTCTGAGACAAATGTGAGTGACGGATACCAAGTTCCATTGTGGGAATACATACCTGAATTTTTGTAGCCACAGAAGCAAAGAAATCAGATTGGTTGGTTACAGCAAAGTAAAGAAACTCTTAACTTTTAAAAGTTATCTGATGACATTCTTAAGTTTTGAACCAGTAGAATCTAGGAGTCTACTACGATTTTTACCTGATAATTGAAATCTGGCTAGGTCAGACACAGACAACGGTGGACAATGGATAGCTAGTAAGGAAGCTAAATATAATTAAAGCTAATTTGGCCTGGATCTGCAACATCATGACCCCCAACAATCATAAAGTCCTAATCAGGTAATCAGCCTTGCAGAATTTTTAAGATATATGTAGTTTTTTCTGAGGACTTCAGTTTATACATGCACTAAAATATGATAACAGTCTCATGTAAGAGAAAAATGATAACATATGAGGAGTGCCTGGTAAAAAGTTAAGTGTTCAATAAATTATGAGTATCATTACTCAGGCACACAAAGAGCACCAAGGTGGCATTTTTCCCTTTTTAAAATTTATTTTAAAAAATTTGATGTTTTGTCATCATACATGGTACAGTGTTACACCTGAGCATTTTCATGTAAGTGTTGAGAATATTATCCCCATATCCCCTTGCCTCCCCTCTGTCACCTCACCCCTACCTATGAGTCTCAATGCCCTAGACAGTTTCATTTCGACTTCCACCTCATATACAGGTATCACTTTCTATACGTGTAAAAACAACCCTAAGAACCACAAATGAGAGAAAGCATAGCTTTCTTTTTCTGAGATTGGCTTAATTTGCTTAATATGATTACTTATATTTGCATCCATTTTCCTACAAACCACACAATTTCATGATGGAAAAATTCATGTATACGTATGTATATATGATATGTAGTTATCACATATATATCATATTTTTTCATACATTCATTTGTTCTTTGACAGCTAGGTTGGTTTCATAACTTACCTATTGTGGATATTTCTGGAATAAACATGGATATGCAACTATCCCTATGATATGCTGACTTGGAATCTTTTAGGTAAATACCCAGGGGTGATATTATCTGTGTCATTTGATACATTTTTTTCTATAAGCACAGAATTTAAGTGTCAAGCTGTTAAAAAAATCTGTCCCCGCCCAGGGGACTGAACATCAGAAGCCAGCCTGATCAGGCAGGTGTGACCTTGGGGCAGGTCCACTGCTGCTTTCTTGCCCAGTTAGCAAGCACACCACACTCGCCTTCCCGCATCCAATGCCCACCCGACCCAGCGCCCAGCTGCTGCTGCTGCTGCTGCTGCTGCTGCTTGCTACCGCCGCCGCTCTGGGGAGTGACTCCAAGACACCTTCGCAGACGCAGAGACACAGGGGAGGCTGAGGGAAAGGCCATGAGATCCAGCCAGGTGGTTTAAAAATTCCTGGGAAATTCTTCAGCCACAATGCGGGCTTGGGCATTGACTGACAGCTTCATCTCACTGATCTCTTTGTCAGTCTCCTCCACGAAGTGGATCACAAAGTCCATCAACTTGTGTTTGTACATCTGCTCTGTGTGGAAGTTGGTGATCAGAAAGCTGACGTCATAACCCTCCACTGGTTTCCTTCGAAGGGTAAAGAAATCCTCTGCGGGTAAAGAAATCCTCTGCTCGCATCATCATTGAAGCGCATGAACTTAGGGCATAAAATCTTCTGGATCTCATCAGCCTGTTTCACAGCAATGCTGACCCGCACAGAATTGATAGAGCCTTCAATTAGCACCTTTTCCTTCTCATTCCTGCTGATGGTAACAGGTAGCAATAGGAGCTCTTTGCTACTCCTGACTTCCACCTCTGGCTTATTGTGCTCTTCCACGACCTGGGAGGAGAAGTTCTCCAGGCAGAGGGCAGCCTGCAGCGTGGCCCGCACAGCACTAAGATGGGGCAGAAAGTGGCAGTCATAGCAGGTGCTGGCTGGCGGGAAAGCAGAAGTGTGGGATAGATCTATTTTTAAGGTTTGATTATTTTTAGGGTCCTCCATACTGTTTTCATAGTGGCTAGACCAATTTGTATTCTTACTAGCAGTGTGTAAGTGTTCCCTTTCACTGGAATCCTCACCTGCAATTGTGTTTACTTTTCTTAATGACTGGTATTCAGGCTGGAATAATTTCAGTACAGCTTTAATTTGCTTTTCTCCAATGGCTAGGCATGTTGAGTATTTGCAATATATTTCTTGGCCATTTTTTCAATGTATAGTTTTATTGAGTTTTTGTGCATTTCATAAAATACATATTAATCATATTTAGATCTCCCTTCTCTATCTGTACTTCCCCATAGTCCAGACAGATGATTTCATGCATTCTGTCATATACATTAGAGCCTATCAAGTCAAATCTGTGTACCAAGATGACCCTCAGTGTGAGTTCATCTATTGGAGCCTGGTCAGCCTATCTAGCATCACTCTTTTAAAGAAGATCCACTTTGCCTCACCCAGCAATGATCAAGCATCAATAATTCCTCAGCTAAGGTTGGGGCCTCCTGCCCATTTCCCCAGCCCTATGCTGTTTTTTGTCTGATTGAGTCTGCATGGGTCTTTTGCATGCTGTCATCATTGCTGTACGTTTATATGTATAAATTCCCAGAAGTCTGTAGGACTTTGTTTCCTTATAATCATGCACTTCCCGAGGCCTTTTCAGCGTTTTTGTTCCCTCTTCTGCAATGGTCCCTAAACCGTGGGTGGGTGAGTTTTAATATGAGTCCTAGCCAGACCTGCACTCTGAAGTCTCTTATTCTCTACATTTTGATCAGTTGTGGCCATCTGTGTTCATCACCCTCTGTTACATGAGGAAGTTTCACTGGCGACAGTTGTGAGATGCATTTGTATTCTCTCTACCCCTGTTCTTTTATAACCTATGAGCCTTAGATGTATAAGTTCCATTGTAGATGTGTCACTTAAGGTTGGGCATCTCACAGACACTTATTTTCTATATGTGACCAGTTGTAGAATTCTGTAATAGTCTACATCTGTGCCAAAAAGAAGCTTCTTTGATAAGTGGTGACTGGTATTCTTGTCTGTAAATATAAGGATACATATTTAGCATACAGTAAAAAAAATCACATTTGTCTAGGGATGTGAAAGATGTAGGGTTTTCTATAGGTTTTATGACCTCTCTAGTTATGTGTATTTGGCTGTGTTTACAGTGCCACACATGAGTTATCTCCCACTGAGCAGGAGTTAAGTCTATTTAGATAGCTGGTGATTACCCCAAAGATAAAAAGGCCACTACTGCACCAATATAGTTTGCTGTGCTGTAATTGTTGTTGTTATTAGGATTTAAAGCTGGGGTTGGACCACTGATTAATTTTATCCCTTTACAGTTTGCATAGTGTCCTCCAAAACTATGAGAGCTAGTCTTCAGGGAGGATGCTTCCAGGTCAATTCCAGCTCCATTGCTCCAAGTCCTGTGTTCAAAGTATGTCCTGCCTTCAGCACTAGGGTCTTACCTTCAGTTTCTGGGAGGTAATCAAGGACCGTGACAGCAGCCTGCATTATTTTGAGTCTCTTGGACTACCATGATCAACAACTCAAAGGGAGGTTTCTCCTGTCTGGCATTGGGTTTCTTGCTACAGAGCATTCAGCTATACGCAGCCACTCATGTACAGATATCGTATGTATTTTTCAGTAGACTTTTGAACCAATACCCCTCTGGTTTTTCATCACTTAAGCATTATTTATCTCTCCTCTCGCCCTCTCCTTGTCTAACTTTCCCTCCTCCCTCTCCAGTTAAATATCCACCCCTCCCTTTCTCATTTCCTCTTTAGTAGCATCTGTCTCTTACTCTCTATCTCTCTCAGGCTCTTTCTTTACCTTTACCTCCACAGTTCCCTTCTTTTTTTCTGGCTCCTGTGGTTACATCAGGATATGTACTCACATATAAAGATCTGGTGCTAAGAGCCACAAATGAGTGAGAACATACATCGCTTGTTTTTCTGAGTCTGATTTACTTCATTTAGTACAACGGTTTTTAATTCTGTCCACTTACCTGGAAATTTCATGATTTCTTGGCTATTTGTATTTTGAGAACCATTTGCTCATTTCATTATCTGATGTATTGATTGGGTTGTTTGAGTTATTGTTTAGTTCTTTGAGGTTTTTTTTTTTTGCAAAATGCTAATCCTCTCTCATACATATAGGGAGCAAGGATTTTCTGTCATCCTATAGGTTACGTATTCACTGTTTTCTTTTGTGTGCAGAGGCTTTACTAATTTCATGATACCCCTTTTATTGTTCAGTTGTGGTCTTTATTTCTCAATGACTGGAATCTTATGCAGAAATCCCTTGCCTATGCCTGTATCTTAAAGTGTTTTGCATAGTTTCCTCCCTAACAGATTCACAATTTTAGGCCTTACATTAAGGTCTTTAGCTACTTGGAATTAATTTTTGTATAATGTGAGAGCTAGAGTTCTAGTTCTACTCTTCTATATGTGCCTATTAAGTTTTCCCAGCACCATTTGTTGAAGAGGATGTAACTTTTCCAATGTATATTTTTGGCATCACTATCAATAATCAGGGGGCTGTACATGTGTGGCTTAGGGCTGGGCCCTCAGTTTATTCCATTGCATGTTTGTTGTACCAGGACCACACTTTTTATTCACTATATATGCCTCTACAGTATAACTTGAAACTAGGTATGGTGAAATTTCCAGCATTATTTTTTCCTCAAGATTTCTCAGGCCATCCTTTTGCATTTCCATACAAATTTTAAGACTTTTTTTCTATTTCTAGCAAGAACATCACTGGAATTTAGATAGGGATTTCATTAAATCTGTATATTGCTTTTGCTACTGTAGCCCTTTTAACAATATTAGTTCTTCCAATCCATGAACATGGAATGTCTTTCCACTTTCTAATGTTGTTTACTATTCTTTCTTCAGTGTTTGAGTGTTTTTCTTTTAGGAGTCTTTCACTTCCTTGATTAGGTTTAGTCTAAGGTATTTTTGAGGCTATTGTGAATGGCATTGTTCCATGATTTCTTTCTTAGCATGTTGGTTATTGACATGTAGGAAAGTACTGATTTCTGTATGTTAATTTTGTATTTTGGCTGTTTATCAGATCTCAGAGTTTTCTTGTGGAGTCTTTAAGGTCTCTTGTGTATAGTAAAAGAATATTATCTACAAGTAAGGGTACATCAACTTCATTTCTTGTTTGTATTCCTTATATACCTTTGTCTGCTCTTATGGCTCTTGCTAAGACTTCAAATTCTGTACTGAATAATGGTGAGTAAAATGAACAACCTTGTCTTTTTCCTAATTTTAGTGGAAATATTTATAATTTTTCCACATTTACTTGACTGTTTTTTTGTTATACATGATCTTTGTTATGTTGAAATATGTTCATTTTATTCCTAGTTTCTTCAGGAATTTCATCTTAAAGGGATGTTGGATTTTCCCCCAAACCTTTTCTATATCTACTCATGGCTAAGAATCAGTTTATCTTGATCATGGTGAATGCTTGTTTGATGTGGTCTTGAATTTGGCTTGCAAGTGTTTTATAGAGAAATTTTACAGTTATCTTCACCAGGGAGATTTGTGTAGTTGTATACTTTTTCTGTTGTGCCTTTATCTGGTTTTGATATCAAGGCAATATTGAGTTCATAAAGAGAGTGGGTAATGTTCCTTCCTTCTATATTTTATGGAATAGTTTGACAGGCATTGATGTCAGTTCTTCTTGAAATGTGTGATAGAATTCAACAATGTATCCATCTGGGCCTGGACTTTTATTATTTGGCAGAAATTTTTATTCCTGCTTCAATGTTGTTCTAGATCTATTTAAATTGTTGAACTCATCTTGATTTAATTTTTCTATATCTTATGTGTCTTGTAAGTCATCCTTTTGTTTTAGGTTTTTCAGGTTTATGGAGTACAGGTTTTTAAGGTGTGCCTTAATGATTTTGTAAATTTCATTGTTATCTGCTGTAGTGCCTCTCTTTTTATTTTTATTTTATTAATTTTGATGGGAATTCTCATTTGGTTATTTTGGCTAAGGGTTTGTTGACTTTATTTATCATTTTGAAGAACTAATTTTTTGTTTCCTTGATTCTTTGTATTGTTTGGTTAATTTCCTTTTCATTAATTTCTGCCCTGATAATTTTTTGTTTCTTTCTTCTGACTCTGAGTTTGCCTTGTTCTTGTTTTTCTATGATCCTAAGGTACATCACTAAGTTTTTTCTTTGAGCTCTCTCTCATTAAAACTTATTACTACTGTGCATTTGCATATGTATGTGTACTTGAGACGTGTGTGCTACAGTGCATGTGTTGAGGTCAGAAGACAACTTTGTGGAGTTGGTTCTCTCTTTCTACTTTTATATGAGATTGGAGATTAAACTCACATTCCCATACATTGTGCCGCAAGCACCTTTATATGCTGAGTCGTCTTGCTGGCTCCCTCTCTTACTTTTTTTAAATTTTATTTATTTTTATGTGTATGAGTGTATTACCTGCATGTGTGTAGGTGCACCTGTGTCATGCAATGCCTGCAGAGGTCAGAAAAGAACGTTGGATACCCCTGGTACTAGAGTTATGGACGATTGTCAGCTGCCATGTGGATGCTGAGAATCAAACCCAGTTCTTCTGAAAGCACAGCCAGTGCTCTTAGCTGCTAAGTCATCTCTCCAGCCCTCTTCTCTTATTTTTAAAGTAGGTATTTGTAGCTATAAACTCCCCTCCTAGGACTTCTTTAATTCTATGTCATAGGTTTTGGTGTATTGTGTTTCCACTTTCATTCAATTCTATGATTTTATTTCCTTCTTGATTATTTGATGTCCCATTCATCATTCAGTAGTGTGCTGTGCCATGTCCAGTGAATGATCTTTGTCTTGTATTTTTAATTAAATCCTCTATTATTTGGTTGAGGACTTTTGAATCTATATTCACCAATAATATTGTTTTTATGAGTGTATGTGTCCTTCACTGGTTGTCCTCCATAGGATGATTCTGGCTTTAGAGAATGAGAATGAAAAAGTTTTTTTCTCTTCCAATTTT